ATTTTAACGATGAAATGCTGGAATTTTAAGCTAAAAAGGTGTTTTGTGTTATTTTGAATTTGGTTCAATTCTTAAATTTATTAGTTTGTTGGTTTTTAAGTTCAAATATTGGGTTGGGGTCGAATTTCTAGTTTATTAAGTAGGTGGTTGGTTTTAAAAGTCTAAGGGAGTGATGTTGAAAACTTAAGTTTTTGCGGGTTAAATATTGATTTGAGTATTTTATTAAAGTGCTGGAATTTTAGTAATTAATGTGAAATGATCATAATGATGAAGAATCATTAGGAATTAAATGGAAAAGTTATATGAATTCTAAAAGAATTCATAATTAGTAACTTGAATGTAAAGTTAGTAAAAGTTAAAGAATGATGAAAATAAATATTTATGGAATCGAATGAGTATTTTGGGAAAATTTGAAATTTTTGATGGAAATGTGATTTAGTTTTAAATCGTTAATATCGATTTTTCTATAGACTTTTATATTATAAGTTTAGATTATGTTAGTACGATACTAACATATAATTTGAATATTTTATGCTAATATGTAACATTGTTAGACCACGATAAATCTAGTGATCTAAACAACCTGAAAGAAAAGAAGGAGCACGCGAGTAATGAAGTATCATATAAAGATTCAGTAGTAAGACAAGTGAGTAGTCTTACTTATTTATTTTATTTATTGAAAATGGCTTATAATTTTATTTAGGGCATGAAATGTCCAAAGATTTATATAATATTTGGATAAATGCAATGATTGATTTCGGGTATGAATTGCCCAAAATACTAATATAGGTTAAATGGTTAAGAAGAGATTATGAAATTGTTGTAAAACCCTTTATATGTTGTGTGAGTATTGGGTACAATTGGTATTATAGGTGCCATGAGTAGAGAGATTATTGAACGATAATATGATACATTAATGTACATACAAGTAACAGGTACATTGTGGCACATATAAGGGTATGTTGCCGACACAATAATATATAAGTGGTGAAAAATGGATTTATGGTCAAGGTGTTATTGTTTCATACTACAAATGATAAAAGGCATAAAAGGTGCCAAATTGATTATAGCACTATGGGGTGCATATGATAAAAGGCATAAAGGTGCCAAACTGATTATAACACTATGGGGTGGATATGATTAAAAAATGCATTAAATGTGCCAGTGATTAAGGTTAGACTGTCATTATGAAGAAAAGGATATCGAAAGTATATGTGAAAGTTATGACAAGTATATAAGAAAAGGATATCGAAATGAAATGAAAGTTTTGAAACATGTACGAATAAAAAGAATATGAAATGTTTGTTAAATCTGATGTTGGTTTACATGATTTTCGATAAAATCATGAGATGATGTTTTTTAGGTTTTCTAAGAGGAAATTGGTTTGAATGGTTTGGTTTTAAAGTTCCAATGTTTTTATTTATATTTTATATCACCTTAGCTACGTTATTGTCTTCTATAAGTATTATTTAGCACATTATGATTTTCATGCGTAGGTTTTGATAAAGAATCAAAGTGAAGTGAGGAGCTTTTTGAGCATGTTTTGGAGAATATCTATATTATCAGCATCAGTAAGACATCTTTGATATTTCTTTTGAATTTTAGTGGCCTGTATATTACATTTGTTAGTTTAGCTCATCGTTTTATTTTTTACTATGGTATAAAATAGTAAACTAGAACTATTTCATTTTGGCCTACTTTAGAATATCTGAATTATATGCTTAAATATTATTTTTGCAATTTTATACAATTAATGAAATAATTTTAAAGTGGACAAGGAATGATTTCGAATGGAACAAAATTTAAGCATTTATGTTTAACGAAAGTATGTAATGTTGATGTAACATATTTAACTCGTATTTTGAGATATATACGAGTTATGGTGTTGCATTAAATTATTCGCTGCATATGGAGTCATGTTGAGGAGAGCTCCTTCAGTAGTGGCATCTACCATTTTTTTTCTAGCAAATGCATCCCCTATAGAAATACTAAGGAGCACTTGTTCGGACAGGACGTGTTACAGATAATAGGCGCAAACCTTTTTAAATCGCTCTCAATAGTCATAGAGTGACTCTCCATCATTCTGTCTGATTCCCATGATGCTTCTTCTCAGTTCACTTGTTTTTGTCGCTGGGAAAAACTGTTAAGAAAAACAGACATTAAGTCAGCTCATATTGTAACGGAGTTTGGTGGTAAAAAAATAACCATTCCTTTTCCAAACCGGCTAAGGAAAACGAAAAATCACTAAGTTGATCTGGTCTTTCGGATAATCCCTGGGTTTCATACTGGAGTAGACCAGTGAAATTTCGCGAGATGTTTGTGTTGACTTCCACTATGAAGACCGTGGTAGGTATGAATAAGAGATAAGCCCCGTCTTGAATTAAAATGGAGTCGTGCCATGAGGAAAAACGATGTAGAGTGGCTGTTGAATGGCGAAAACCGCAACTAACTCTCTGATTGTCTGATTTGCCATTGGTTGTGCTTCCTTTGGCGTGGAATCGATGACTAGAGTGGCTTCGGGTGTTGCCTCTTCGCTGGAATGGGTGTTAATTGATGTCTTGAAAAGTGGATTCCATATTTGAGCGTCGTTCGCTTTGCTCTAGCTATTGTTTCTTTCATTGAAGCATTTGGTAATGGGTTTTACGAGCTCTTACTTCGATCTCGGGTCAAGTTCTACTAAATCTCCTGGGTTTCGCTTGATCAAAAAATCAAAAACAAAAATAAATTAGTAGCTTACCAAAGTCCCCATCAATGGCGCCAACTTGTCAAGTGTCGTGAACTATCAAATAAATTCCTTTTTCATAAATAAATAATAAATAAGAATGAACATAATATAGAGAGAAAAGGATCGATCCGTAGGGTCTTAGACATTCCCGATGTAGAGTTTTGTTGATTTTGTTCTAGGTAAACTGTAACAAAAGTAAATAAAAGGGGTTTGGTGGAATAAGATTGGAGAAAATTAAATAAATGTAAAAGATTCGAAAACATTTATGGAGAAAATAGCCTTGAGCTTAGCTTTGCTTCAATTCTATTGATCATCGAAGTGGATTTTACTTTGGGATTCATGTCGATTACAATCTAAAAGGCCCAACCCTTGTAACTTACTTTTCTCATTGGTAATCGATCTTACCAATTCACTTTTTGAAATTAAGTCCTTTAATAGACTAACTAGGACTATCGCCTTTAGAACAAATCATTAAGTTTTAGAAAAGCCCACTCAGATTATGTCATCTCACTAGATTGAATCTGATCTCAATTTCCCTTAATGGACCGCTGCTAAGTGTTTTACCAGGAAGTCGAACTGAGTACCATCCAATTCTTCTCCCAACTTTAAATCAGAACAACATGCACTAACGTCGACTTTTTGAATGAAAGTGTTAAGATTTTTAAAAGTAAGGCCAATTGACAAACTACTTTTACAAAAATTGAGAATGTAACCCGAATGTATTAAATGCTTTTTCAATTCACGTTTAGTCAGTGCTAGCTCTCGGCTAAGTAAGAAAATTAGCTAAGCATGATAGAAATCATACTTAGCATGTTTTGTGAAAACGATAAAAGCGTAAAGTAAAATAAAGTAAAAATGAAAAAGAAAGAAAACGTCTTATAAAAATAAACAAGGTAACAACGTAGAAATCCAAGATATCCAAGCCATAACCTAAGGAGTGTATTTATAGGCTTCCAAATCCCTAAACGACAAATAAATTCAAATGCAAATATTCCTAAAGATAATTCCAAGTGTTTGAATTCGAACTTAAAACTAGATTTCCTACAAAAATCTCTCGGATTGTGTGAGTATTTTGCTTCCAAAATCTTCCCAATGCTGTCTGGACCTTCTAAAAAAATGAGAATACCCTTTTATTGCTAGTTCTGGAGTAAACCTCTGCATTAAAATAAGCAAAATAGAACTAAATCAGTAATGATAAATTCATAATACGAAAAATTAACAAGTAAATAATGTCAATCTAGAACACTCATCATGCATGGTTATATTAAATTTATGTTTATGTTAATGAATAGAATATGATAAACCAATAATGTTAAGCTCTTTGTTCTTCATTAATATAACATATGTTATTCATATCTTTTGTATGTTACATCGAGATGAGACATTGTGTTACAGAAGTGACCGAATAATGACTAGTTTAATCATTAGGATAATAAATTCAATTATTGACTAGTTCATTTATTAGGATGAAATCTAACTACCAACTAATGCATCCCATCATAATGGTAAATATAATAGCATATAGTATAGCTAACTAAGTTGTATGCCATTACATCCATATCATATATGACGTTATATATTTGTGTGTGCGTGTGTCCGTGTTTACTTTGTTGAATATTTTGTGATGTTTAAAAAACATTAATTGAGTTCTAATACAGAGAGACAATATGTGAAGGGGCATAACCAACTAATATGGCAACGGGTCGGGTTAGGGTCAGGTTTTTGGTTAACCTGACCCAACCCGAAAATATGCACACTCCACCTGAATCTGACTCGACCCAAAATTTTATACCCTCCACCGACCCGACCTAACCCTGAAAATATACCCTCTACTCGACTCCGACGCAATCCGATATAAAATAAAGATTGATTAAAAATAAAAAATTTAAGAAAATTACATTATTATCCTCGTGTCGAGTTTTTTACCCTCCACCCAACCCGACCTCACCCCTTAAAAATCTAACACGACCCAAACCTGAATTTTTTTTTAAAAAATCTAACCCTATCAGATTGGGTCGGGTCGAAACCCGTCGAATTTGGGTTAAATTACCATCTTTATAACCAACGCGGTTCCGATATTAATAAAGACAAAATGATAATTAAAACGGTTGAAACAATACATTAATATTGAAACTGATATTAATAAATATTTAGAAAAATAATATTTAATATTTTTTATGATTTTTTCCTAATAACATTTAGGAACTAAATTGATCCTTTTTCGGAATTATTTATAACAAAGCAAAATCTCCTGTCATAACCGATCTTTTTTCTTTCAGTTCTTCAATATATTTGCAATTCCCATAGCCTGCATAAATAAAATAAATAAGATTAAATAAAGAATAAACAAAAAATAATAATGTCTTTGACTTATATAATTCAATTCCTAAACCCTAAAAGATAATTTTTAAAAATCAGATTATGGTTTTGATTCTTCAACAATTTTTAATTTTGGACTAACCAATGACAGTATAAGATTGGAGAACAAATTATGGCAAATTAAAGTTTAGAGACTAAATATCAATACAGGAACTAAACGCTTACTTGGATTCTCGCTGATTACTCTTCCAATGCCATTAAAATCACAAAAACTAGGGTTGCTTTCATGAGAGCGGTAGTAAGAATTCATGGCGAATGCGGCACGAGACCTGACGGTGGGTGGATCACCGCAGACGGCACCCGGCTGAATTGGACCGCAATCAATGCCTTGGCCGCACGCGAAATCCAAGGCTTTCTGCAATTCAGCATCGGAAGCTTGCTCCGTTGGCACACAAAACGCGGTCGGGGGCGTGACCACCGCAGTTCCATTATCAAGTACAACTCCATGCGCTTCGACGATGGAAGCGGACAAGAAGAGATGGAAGACGACGGCGGCGAGGATAAGGAAAGAAACTCTTCTAAATGACTTCATGATGATGATAATATTCTTCTTCTTATTATTGCTATTTTGCTTTGATCCCTGATATTGTAATGGGGTTGTAATTGGTGTATGTATATAGGGAAGATGAATCACCATGGAAGAGTATTTATGATCTATGTTCTGACATATGGGAAACCATGAGAATTAACAGCATGCAATGGCGGATCATAGAATCAGTCATACCAAAAATATTGAAAATTTACTTTGAAGACCCTTATTTTCTAGGGTAAACTAAGAATTTAGTCACCTGTCTATTTACCTGATTCTATTTTGTTCACTCAACTATTTTTTTAAAATCATACCTAAAATTATGTTTTTGTTATCTTTTGATCACCCACCGTTAAAAAGTTATTTATGTGGTAATTCTTTTATTTTTTTCATTGATGATGTGATATTTTTACCTTATGGTGACACAGTAACATCTATGTTATTTTTGAACTTTCAATATGATTTTGAAAAAAATAGTTGGTTGACCAAAAAGGAATCATAAAAATAATTAGTTGACTAAATGCATAGTTTACCATATTTTCTAAAGACATTCCGAAATTTAGAAATTTACGGTGAAAACATTATATATGTATATATATATATATATATTATAGTTTTATATTTTATTTATCACGCAAGTTTAATAAAACTATTTGTCTAAACTAATTACAAGCATAATAATTAAATATATACTAATATGTGTAAGGTGTTCTGATAAGATACATTGTATTTTCTAATAGAAAATTTAAGTTAAAAACTTTATCAGAAAAGAACCACAAGTTTAACAGTTAAATATGTACATTATATATATATATATAGGGTTAGGATATAACTACATAATGCGAAATTAAAATTTCATTAATGGTAAATTTTTAATTTCTCATAAATTAAATTTTATATTCAATTATATTAGTTTTGTGCCAAGTGTTCTAAGTGATAATTATTGGGAAGATCATGAAAAAAATATCAGCTAATTCTTCTCCATCAAACCGTGAGCACCATAGCTAAAGAGGTAAAAAATTTCAAGTTCATTTTTAAGCTTATTTGATTGATTTTTGGGTTAAGCTATCAAAATTAACCTACTTTCAATTCTCTATCATTTGGTATAAAAATTTCATAAAAATCATGCCTAGATGTTAAGTTTCAAGAATTGGGTGGTTGAAGAACATGTTTGATTTTGAAGATTTTATGGAAGATTTTTATGTTATTGATGTTGTAGATTAATTCTAAGCTTGAATAATGATTAAAATCAATTGGAAATGTTTAATGACGAATTGGTAAAGGTTAGGGTTTATGGAATTGAGTGAGATAGCATGGAAATGATGATAGGAACTTGAATTTATGTATATGTGTTCATTTGATAAGCTAATAGAATTAGTGAATAAGCTAAGAAATGCAAATTAGTGAAATATATCTGAATTGGTAATCTTAATAGTATGTTTATAAAATCACTATAAATTCTACAAACTATAAATTCTACAAGAATGATTAGAGGATAATTTTTATATTGTTAGATTTGTAAATCAGTCTAGTTTTGTTTAAAACAAACGGCTATTGATTTAGAAGTATATACAAAAAGATATGAATTTTTAACCAATAATAGATTAGAAATTGAGCAGCAGATCCAGCTCAAAACAGATTCTGTAAGTTGGATTAGAAAATTTTCCATAAATTGTATAAGTGGAACTGGAAAAAGTGTCTTATATGGTTAGATTTTTATTCAAGTTTAGTTTCTAATGGTAGAAACGGTATAATTTTTAAGTGTGTAGGTTAATATAGAATAATATTTCTTTGAGAGTAGTGCAAACTGTCAGAATATGAAATTGAGGTAAACTATGCATTTTATGATACTCTTATGTTATATGGTATCTTAATTGTTTGAAATGAGTCAAATATATTATCTTAGAATGATAATTTTAAAGATGAAATGCTGGAATTTTAAGCTAAATAGGCGATTTAGGATCAAAGTGCAAAATTGGATAAACTTAGTGATGGAATTCAAATAGTCTCAAAAGTTGGGACTTAATTGTGAGTTTTCAAATGTGATGAATTATTTTGGTATGGAATTTTTAATTCTGGAAATTTTATATTAGTGTGTTTGTTTTTAAGTTCAAATATTGGGTTGGGGTCGAATTTCAAGTTTATTAAAGTAGGTGGTTGAATTCGAAAAGTCTAAGGGAATTGAGGTTGAAATCATAAGTTTTTGCGGGATAAAATATTGATTTGCTTATTTTATTAAAGTGATGGAAATTTTAGTAATTAATGTGAAATGATCATAATGATGAAGAATCATTATGAATAAATGGAAAAAGTTGATATGAATTCTAAGAAGAATTCATAATTAGTAACTTGAATGTAAAGTTAGGACAAGTTAAAGAATTGATGATGAAAATAAATATTTATGGAATCGAATGAGTATTTAGGAAAATTTTGAAATTTATGATGGAAATGTGATTTACTTTTAAATCGACTAAGTATTGGTTTTATTTCTATAGACTTTTATATTTATAAGTTTAGACTATGTTAGTACGATACTAACATATAGTTTGAATATTTTATATTAATATGTGGCGTTGTTAAACCACGATAAATCTAGTGATTCAAACGACCTGATAGAAAAGAAGGAAGTGTCATATAAAGGTTCACTAGTGAGATAAAGTTGAGTGCATTCTTACTTATTTATTTTATTTATTGAAAATGACTTATAATTTTATTTAGGGCATGAAATGCCCAAAGAATTTTATATAATATTTGGATAAATGCAACGAATGATTTCGAGTATGAATTGCCCAAAAGTACTAATATATGTTAAATGGATTAAGAAGAGATTATGAAATTGTTGTAAGGCCCTTTATATATTGTGTTGAGTATTGGGTACAATTGGCATTATAGGTGCCATGAGTAGAGTGATTATTATCGATAATATGAGTACATTAATGTACATTACAAGTAACAGGGTACATTGTGGAACATATAAGGGTATGTTGCTGACACAATAATAATATTAAGTGGTGAAAAATGGATTTATGGTACAGGTGTTGTTGTGTTCTACAGTACTCTGTACAAATGATAAAAGGCATAAAAGGTGCCAGGCATAAAAGGTGCCAAATTGATTATATAGCACTATGGGGTGCATATGATAAAAGGCATAAAAGGTGCCAAACTGATTATATAGCACTATGGGGTGCATATGATTAAAAAATGCACTAAATGTGCCAGTGATTAAGGTTGGACTGTCATTATACTCGTAAAATAGATTTATGTACCTTGCATTCTCTTACATATAAATTGGGCTATGAAAGTATATGTGAAAGTTATGACAAGTAGATGAAATAAAAGGATAACGAAATCAAATGAAAGTTTTGAAACATGTACGAATGAAAAGAATATGAAATGTTTGTTAAATTTGATGTTGGTTTACATGATATTCGATAAAATCATGAGATGATATTTTCAGGGTTTCAAAGAGGAAATTGGTGTGAATGGTTTGGTTTGAAAGTTCGTTTTTATTTATATTTTATCTCACCTTAGCTACGTTATTGTCTCTCTTAGTATTACTTAGCACGTTATGATTTTCATGCGTAGTTTGGATAAAGAATCGAAGTGAAGTGAGGAGCTTTCTGAGCATCTTTTGGAGATCATCTATATTATTAGTATCAGTAAGACATCTTTGATGCTTCATTTGAATTTTAGTGGCATGTATATTACATTTGTTAGTTTAGCTCGTCGTTTTATTTTTTACTATGGTTTGTAATAGTAAACTATAACTATTTCATTTTGACCTACTTTAGAATATCCGAATTATGTGCTTAAATATTATTTTTGTGATTTTATACAATTAATGAAATAGTTTTAAAGTGGATAAAGGAATGTTTTAGAATGGAACAAAATTTTAAGCATTTATGTTTAACGAACATATGTAATGTTGATGTAACATCTTTAACTCGTATTTCGAAATATATACGGGTTATGGGTGTTGCATTAAATTCCTTGCTGCATATGCAATCATGTTGATGAGAGCTCCTCCACTAGTGGCATCTACCATTTTCTTTTCAAGTAAAAGCATCCCCTCACAGAAATACTAAATGAGCGCTTGTTCGGACGGGACGTGTTACAGATAACTGGCGCATAGCTTTTTAAATCGCTCCCAATAGTCATAGAGTGACTCTCCATCATTCTATCAGATTCCCATGATGTTTCTTCTCAGTTCTCTTTCTTTTGTCACTAGGAAAAACCTATCAAGAAAAACGGACATTAAGTCAGCCCATATAGTAACGGAGTTTGGTGGTAAATAAACTAACCATTCTTTTGACAAACAGGCTAAGGAAAACGAAAAATCACTAAGTTTTATCTGGTCTTCGGATAATCCCTGGGTTTCATACCGGAGTAGACCAGTGAAATTCCTCGAGATGTTTGTGTTGACTTTCACTAGGAAGACCTTGGTAGGTAGAAATGAAATGGATAAGCCCCGCCTTGATTTAAAATGGAGTCTTGGCACGAGGGAAAATGATGTAGAGTGGCTTCTGAACAGAAAAAACCATAGCTAACTCTTTAATTGTCTGATTTTCCATTGGTTCTGCTTCCTTTGGCATGGAATTGATGATTGGAGTGGCTTCGGGTGTTGCCTCTTCGTAGGAATGGGTGTTAATTGATGTCTCAAAAGTGGATTCCATATTTGAGTGTCGTTCGCTTTGCTCTAGCTATTGTTTCTTTCATCGAAGCATATGGTTGTGGGTTTTACGAGCTCTTACTTCGATCTCCAGATCAAATTCTACTAAATCTCCTGGGTTTTGCCTGATCAAAAAATCAAAAACAAAAATAAATTAGTAACTTACAGAAGTCCCCAACAACGGCGCCAACTTGACAAGTGTCATGAACTATCAAATAAATTCTTTTTTCTCAAAATAAATAATAAAATAAGAATGAACGTAGTATAGACGAGTAAGGGATTTATCCGCAGGGACTTAGACATTCCCGATGTAGATTTGTGTTGCTTTTGATCC